GAAATGCCAAGTGCAGACTGGCAGTGCATGCTGTGACCTGATTGCTAAAATGTGTTGTTGTTGTCATTTCTGTAGAATCTGTGTCAGCCATAAAATGAGAGAAGGTAATAGGTTCTTTCAGAACTGGACCTGGACTCCAGGCAAGGTTTCTTCACTGTTGGCTCATTATCTTTTCACTTCATCATGCTGACTCCCTAGGCCATCAAAGCATGCAGTTTTACAGGGACCACAGGGATGGGAAGGATGGACCCTTGGAGTTGTCTCCATATTGGCTATAAGAGTGCACTTAGTTCAGGTGTTGATGGTGCACACCTGTCATCCCAGCTACTGTGCAGGAAGGTTGTGGTCTGAGGCTGGCTTAGGCAAAAGCACAAGACCCTTATCCAGAGAAACAAACAAAACAAGCAAATAAACAACCCTCCCCCCCAAAAAAAACCCAAAAACTATTAAAACAAAAAGAGCTGGGAGCGGTGTTCAAGTGATAGAGTGCTTGCCTAGAATGCCTGAGATCCCTTTCAAACAAAAAAGAGCAGATAAAGGAGACCTATCTGACATGTCCTCCCTTCATTTTTAAGGATTATCAATTCATTTTAGTTTCTTTAACATAGCATATGAAATATTTAAAATTCTTTTGAGCAGCTCCTGCCAGTTCTCAGTTGTAGATATGCTCAGTTCATACAGTTCCCTCTGGAAATAGTGGAGCCCCCTTCATCTCCCCCAAACACCATTGTCAGCTGAAGACTCGTAACTCTGTTGGGTTTCGGCCCTGCTCTCCACAGTGCTAAATTTTTATTTTGTCCCGACTAGTTCCATCTCAGTTATATTGTTACCAACTCTGAGTATACCTCCATACTCCAGCGATAATCATCTAAGTAGATGTACCTGCCGACCATACAGCCTTCTCTAAATTCAACTCTTACGTCAACTCTTGTTAGAAATTTTGATTGTGCAAATGACTTGAGAACAAAACTACCACAGCCAGCTCTGGGGGCAGGGGGTGTGTGTAGCCAGTTCTCTTACACTGCTTGCTTTGTGGTGTTCCCATGTAAGTGAGGTCTGAGCTGAAATGTTTTCTTTGTGTTCTTACTGTGTTCTTACTGTGTTCAACTGTGAAGTTGGATGAAGGTGGATGAAAGTGAAAGCCAGGAAACAAACTGACATGTTTTCTTACTACTTTTTTTTTTTCTTTTTTTTTTTTGTGGTACTGGGGTTTAGGCTCAGGGCCTCATGCTTGCTAGGCAGGTGTTCTACCACTTGAGCCACTCTGGCAGCCTCTTATTACTTCCTTTTTTGGTCTTTGCACTGTAGACCGAGTGTATGGAACTGTTAATGAGGTGGCAGTAATTTATTTAGCTTCTTGTTGAGTTTTGAGTTTTGACCTCTGGATCCAGCATTTCCATTCGTTGCAGGCTTTGGTCTAGCTGAATTTAAGCGTAAATCCATGATCTGTTTACTCACATCTCTCTAGCCTGTTTCATCCTTCTCCCCCATATTTTTTTCAGGCCATTTGTCTCCCTACAGTATAAAATGAAACACAAGAGTAGTTTTCCTTCTTAGTCAGATAACTCTTGCTGCACGTTCTCAGACTCCTTAACTTGGTCCTGTCCTGTCCCCATAGTCTGTGCTGTGAGCCAGTGATGGATGTCAGTGCCAGGCTGGGCTCACGAAGAGGAATTGTAGAGCATGGAGTGTGTACTTGTCAGCTTTATTTTCCAATAGCTTTCTAGTACTACCTGATTGTGTTGAAAAGTAATACTGACTTCAGAAATTAACTGCTCCCTGAGCGATGAAGCTAACCCAGAGTAGAAATTAGCTCTTTATTACCTAAGTATTGAGAACACTTCCATTTTCTGATGACCTAAGTAAACTGTCTGTAGACATTTTACTTGTCCAGAGAAGACCATGGAGTGTAGTTTATCACTTTCTCTTCTGTTCAGAAAGTGGGCCATCCAGAAACTTTTTTTTTTTTTTTTTTGCAGTTCTGGGCTTTGAACTCAGGGCCTACATCTTGAGCCACTCCACCAGTACCTTTTTGAAGGGTATTTTTGAGATAGGGTCTCAGAACTATTTGTCTGGGCTGGCTTAGAACCGTGATCCTCCTGATCTCTGCCTCCTGAGTAGCTAGGATTACAGGTGTGAGCTGCTGGAATCCATCAACTGCTTCCTTCTTTAATCAATACGCTTTAGCTTGTGCCACAGAGAGTTAAGGTTTTTACATATTTATTTGATTTTTTTTTAAATGAAGCAAAAGTCAGATTTTTTAGACCACAAAGAAATCTTTGTCCTCTGCCCCCAGGCTCAAATGCATCCCCTAAATTCAGAGAATATGCATCTGTGTCATGAGTTCAAAGCATCCCAGAAAAGCTAGTGAGAATGCATCACCACTGCTCGGGGCATGGGATGACTGCTTTCTGTAACAGGAACAGTGACGTAACTTGAGGGAGCACAGTTAAGTCATCAATGCCATATGAGTTTGTAATTATTGGCACTGTGCATACAGCAAGGAGGAGAATGTCTTCAACCAAAGAGCACGCTTTTTCTCAAAACGGAATGGAGGCCAGGTGTGGAAGCAGGTAAACCAGGAGAGAAGCACGGGAGTAGGTGTGTTGTGCATACAAGAACACATGTACATCTGTAGAAACTGAAGGTAAGGTCACATCCAGCATGATGCTGCAGTAGCCACCGCTGGTGTCAGTGACTGCATAACGCAGAAGTGTTTGGATTCGAGCTACAGTCCTGACTGGTCTTGCTTTCTCCTTATACTTTCGTGTCCACTGTGGCTGAGGAGCCTCAGCTGGTGGAAATGCATGGATGCCTGTCCTGTGGTCAGGGAGAAGGGAGGCATCATGACGACGATTGCCGTGATGGACTCCAGCGCTCCGTTGTGCATCTTCGGTGTGTTACGAAGGATAAGCACTTGTCATTGTATCTTCGTGAATGATAACATGAAAAGTTGTTTTAGCCTGGAGGGAGCACTTACATTTTATTCTCCTTTTGCTTTTTATTTTGTACAATTATAAAAGTAATATAATCACATTACTTTAGACAACAGAACAGCCTGGGGGGAGGGCAATGAATTTTTATTCCTCACATAACCTGGTCATTCTTTGCATTTATGTGTATTTGCTAATAGTTTTTCATCTCTGTGTATGTTGTTCATTCCTTGTAACACTGCACTCCACTCCTCCCACGGCCTCTCCATTAGAGGCCTTGGAATTGGTAGAGCCTGGTTCAGATCCCAACTCTTGCACTGGAGAGCTGTGACACCTTGGGCAAGTTTCTTAACTTTGCTCAGCCTCATTTCCTTGTCTGTAAAATGGAGGTATTACCTGTTTCATAGATTATTAGGAGAAATAAGTGAGATTATGAATTTAAACTTATTTATGTATTTAAAGTACCCGATTCACTACTTGGCTTATGGTGAAATGGGGCCAATCCATATTTATATTTTTTATATATGCATTCACACTACAAATATATATGTGTATATATGCATATTATGTGCATGTATATGTGTAGAGAGATAGCATTTTCTGACTTCTTTTAGTATTACAAGTATGAATATTTTTCAAAGTAAGTGAAAGACCTAAGAGCCTGTGGGAATCCAGACATCGTAATTCACTGCTGCCCGGGATTAATGACCGTGGGAAGGTAGATAGAAGACTCCAGTTCAAAGAGAAAAGATGGCTGGTAATAATGTAGACAGTAATGGGATCTTGTAATTAATGACTCTTGATTGGTTTTCCTTGTTGTAACTTGTTTTAATCTTTGAAATATGTGATATTAGAAAAGGAATGCTATTTTTTAATGATACTAACCTCATCAAAGCTGCCTGTAATGCTCTTATTTTGTGATTATAATAAACATTTTATGGGATAAAATTTGTATTTTAGTCCTTTCAGGAGAAAACCAAGAAAGAATTTTCAAGTGAGTGTCCTATTTTTCTTAGTCACTCCAAAGTTTAAACCTTAATTTTTGGGCTTGATTCAAAATAAATATTAAGAAGCAAAAGTCTTTTTAACATTTGTAACTCTGGTCAATATAAAAGCATGTTTTTAATCTTTGCAAAAATCTATGTTTTGAGGCTTTCTTTAACTTCAATACAAATTGTGTATTTTGGGAAGATAGAAAGCACTTGTTTTTGCATGATTATAAGTATTATATCATTTATGCTCTGCTAGGTTTATTTTTGGGGTGGAAGAAATAAGTCAGTTCATATTTACTTTGAATATTTTTGGGTTTGTGTTTTAAAAATACACTATGTTTACTGCTTACATCTAAGGGGATAATAAATTAGGGTTTTTTGGGTTTTTCTGGGTAGTTACTGATACAAGCCATTTCCAAAGAGGATTTCACTCTTCATTTTATTTTATATGGAATCGGATTTTAAGCTCTGTAAAATTTCAGTTTATGCCTAAATTTATGTATGTGAGTTTCGGTTTTTTGGTATTAATTATAAATCATGTTATGGCCAGTTCATCCATTTAAAGGCCAATTTAATTGGGAAGAGAACACTAACTGCTGTGGCCCTTCAAATAACTGAAGTGATTGGGGGAGAAAGAAAGAAACTGGGTTAGCCTGTGGTTTTTATTATGGAGGAAGGTTTATGAATTGTGGAACTGTGACTACTGTCAAGACACACATGCCCATAAACTTGTTACTGCACAGTAAAGTCGATTCACTAACATAATCAGTAAGAATGCATCTTCTGACACTTCTTTGCACTAAACAAAATGGAACCATTTAAAGCTGGCATTCTCTTTTGCTCATACACTGGGATGAGCCCGATTACATAGCAGCCATCATTTTGATTTTCCAGGGTAAAGAATTTTCCATTGTACATGTAATTTTCAAGTTTGCTTTTCCCCTTGGGCTTAGAATCAATTATACTAGTGTTTGAAATGAGAACCGCATAATTACTGTGAGGTTTAACTAAGGTTCTTTGCATACTAGAGAATACGTAGCAGGACCAACCCTGTTTCCCCCTTTGGTTTATTTAGAAGACTTGCACTATCTGCCAGATGCTGCTTCCTAACCAGTGCAGTTATGCTTCACACCAGAGAATCCATCAGCACAAATCTCCCTACACCTGCCCCGAGTGTGGGGCCATCTGCAGGTCGGTGCACTTCCAGACCCACGTCACCAAGAACTGTCTGCACTACACACGGAGAGTTGGTTTTCGGTTAGTATATCGCTCACTTCTGTGCAAGTACAGCTTATTTGCTAATACTACACGGCCATCGGAGTGGTCTGTGCACATGGTTCACAGGGTCAAATGCGATTAACAGTCCCTGTGAGCCTAACTTGTTTGTAGTACAGTTGATGTGTTTGAATCCTTTAATGCAGTCTTGGCCTTGCTGGTCCACACAGAGCTGAGGGTAAGAGGCCATCCTTGTAGGTGATTGTGCATGTGTGATAGGCTTTGATTGACTGACAGCCTTTTTTTTCTGTACTTTTTTAGCACCCTTTTGTTGTCACACTCCCTGCATTTTATCCCCTGCAAGAATAGCAGGCATTTCTGCACCTCTTAATACTTTCCCTCTGCTAATGAAAACAGAAATGGTGAGACTTGAAGGTCAAGTGTATATCTTTTTCTAATACTGCTCTTTTTTAGGGGGGGGAGTTTGGTGCTGGGGTTTGAACTCAGGGTCTCATGCTTGCCAGGCAGATGCTCAAGCCACTCCCCAGCCCTTTTTTTTTCTTTTTTGCCTAGTACTCAGACAGGGTCTTGAATTTTTGCCGAGGGCTGGGTTTGGACCCCAGTTCTCCCAATGTGGCTGGATTATAGGAACATACCACCACTCCTGGCTTATTTGTTGAGATAGACCACTCCTGGCTTATTTGTTGAGATAGAGCTTTGTTAACTTTTTGCTTGAGTTGGCCACAAACTGCAATTCTCCTGATCTCCATCACCTCATCTCCACCTTCCAAGTAGCTGGGATTACAGGTTTAAGCCACCATGCCCAGCTAGCATCGCTCCTTGTGGAAGTTTTCCAACCCAAATAAACTTCCCATCATCTTCCTTTACCTGAGCCCAGGTTTCTCCCTCGTTTCTTCTGAGCATCTTAACTATGGCTCCTTCACTGCCCTTGAAGATTCCCAGATGTATTTTACAATATCTGGCAAATTTAATGTTCGTGTAGTGTTGTGATGATGTACTTGAACTCTGTTTTCCACTTTATGACCTTCTGAAATGCATTTCTGTGCCAATTATATTTTGACCTGATGAAAATCTCTAAGAGAACATGTCATCAATAACATAGTGTCTTTTGTTAATAGAGACATTCTGTGCTGTTTGTTTTTCTTAACATCATTTGGTTACCTAGTAGCTATAATGTTAGGCTGTTAATATGCAGTATCTTTTTTTAGTTGTAACTCAGTTATGTTCTATAAAAATGAAGTCTGGTTGGTGTGAATTGAAGATTTTACTTCACTTCAAGGTAGGCTATGGGACCATTGAGTCCTGGGTAACTACCCATTTTTCTAGCACTAAAATAAGAGACTGATTTCCATTTTACCTCTTGCCTCCAGACTTGGAGTGGACACATGTTTCATGGATTGTGATCTAGCCTGGAAACTTTTGGATTAGAAATCAAGAAACCAGAGTTTTTGTGCTTGTTTGCTTAGAACTACTTGTGTGGAAATTCTTGTGTTCTCTCTGTGCTGTGTGCAGTTCTCTCCAGCTCCACTGGGATGTTCTGGACTTAAACAGGGTAACAGGTGCCCCAGGTCCACAAAGTCCATGCAGAATCACACTTTGGTACTTGTCATTGCATGCTTGGAAATTCTTACCTAGTAAGTTCTAATAAAATAATGGGAAGCTTCCCTGCAACATTTCGTAAGTGCCGTTCTTTTCACACATCCTAAGCTGTCCTCCAGCATATACTTATTCTTCTCATAGGATGAGAACAAACCCAGGTCGGAATGAACAAAGGAAGCAGGACTTCTGCCATTTCAGTGATTCCTGTTATCTTTCCTAAATGAAGACAGGAGCTCCATGTGCAGGCTGCAGCCGTCACCTCACTTGGAAAACCCATTTGGGCTTTTCTTTTCTTTTGTCCCATCCACTGAGTTCCTCAAATTGGATGCTTTGATTGTAGATTTCAAATTTTTACTCAAAAAGATTTGTGTTAAGCGTAGGTTTTCCCCTCCTGGACTTCAGCCTGTACAAACTGTACAAATAATATGTTTGTTACAAAACTTAATTTGTGTTTACTTCTTCTTTAGAAAAGAGATAAAAATTTTTTAACCTTAATGTTTTTTTCCATCCAACTTATTAAATAATGGTCCAGTCTGTTGGACTAGGTCTTAGTAGCTTTTATCCTGTGTTTGACTCTCCCTTTTGGCTTCATAGTTAATCATTTTCCATTTTTTTCTTCTGTAGCCAGAGAAGTCTCACATGGGCCATACACCTTCTTTTGTCTCCTTGATGCTGGTGCCTTGCTGTTTCTCTTCTTGCTCAAAATGCATCTCCCAAATCCTGAGGGGTCACCCTGGCTCCTGGTTAACTTGGTAAAAGTCAAATATTGATAAAAATCAGCATTTTTCTGAATTTTCCTGCCTCCTGTTACATTTAAAAAGGTGGTTATTATACAACTGCATAATATAAACTTTTTAAATTAAAAAATAAACTTGATTGGTACCTAGAACACAAAGGACTTTGAGTATATTAGATCTTTCTCAAGACACTGGATTTTTAGTAGCATTAGGATGCTATATGAACCCTTCACGTTCTGCCTCTTGTGTGCCCACCTCACAAAGGCCTGTTGGCCTCTGTTGCCCAAACCTCTTTTGTCACCTATTAGCAGATCCTTACAACTTTGTCCTTAAGACTTTTAAGTATTCTGCTTTCTCTTTTTGCCTTGAGGAGAGATGTATCTTGGCCTCAATGGTGCTCTTTGGACTAGTCGTTGTCACTTCCTCCTGCCTCAAAAAATGTCACCTGTAGTTTAGGTACTCTTTCTTTGTACTTTGTGTAGGTTAAACCCTACTCTCCAAGTGACTTCAGGGAATTACTGCTTTTCTCTTTGTTCCTTTTTGTCCTTCCTTGGTCTTTGACCCTTTGAACACCACCTTCCTATCCTTGATGGGAAGATCTTTGTGGTTCATGGCATGCTGGCTCCTTGGGTTGCACTAGTAACTCATCTACTCCTGTTTGGCATAGTCTCTCTTTTTCCCTTGAGTCATAGGCTTCTAGGGTGGGGAAGGACTAAAAATGACCTACCCTAGCTCTTCTCCTTTACAGATGAGTAACTGGCTCAGAGAAGAACATTAACCTGTTCAAGACAACACAGTAAGTTAACTCAGAAGAATTTCAGTCTGCTTGAGTGGCTCCTGTATTGCCCAAAATAGCAGTTCCATTAGATAGGTAGCAAAGCTTTCCTTTATTCTCCTGTGGTTTTAGCATCTGTGTTGCTGAGCACTGTGCCTTAAGCCATTGAAAATGCTAATGCATTAATTATGATGTAAAAAAATGCTCGCGAGGCATGACACGCTTTACAGAACATACACAGTTTAGAACACACCACTCCTGCATGGTTTTGGAAGCATCTCCTGGACTTGAGAGGGCCCTCGCAAGCATGGAAATATTTTACACTATCTTAGAAGCCCCTGGAGGGCAGGCCCTGTCTGGACTTCATGTCCAGGAACGCGTGTGTTCACTCGCATTGGCGATGTTATCTCCAGAGGTTCTAAGTGTCTACAGATACCACTCTTGAATAGTTTTTAGGTACGAACCAAGAAAACCTATCATTAAATGGAGATATTGTGACTATTGCTGAGAGTCCTTGTGCAAAAAAGATGAGTTAGGGGAGAAATGTATCCTAGTTTTAGTGTTTGTTTCTGTGGAATTAGATTTGAGCAAAGAATGAGATAATCGTGAAATTACTAGGAATTCATAAAGTAAGGCTAGTTAGGAGGTAGTTTTTTTAGAGATGCTGATTTTTTAAACAGTATAACTAAAAAATAATTTATGTAATTTTAAAACAAATTTATTTTCCAGTAGACAAACCTAGGTGGTGATTCTCTCCTCTCTGTGGGTCACCATGGATTGGATTCATCAGGTGATTTGTCCACAGCAGTGTGCACCAGGAGGCAGTGGGCCACAGACTGGGAGCCTGTGCTTGTTTGCTCCTCCCAACCCTCTGTCCAGAGCATGTTGGTTCAGGAGGTGTAGACATCTTTCATTTGAAAAGGCATTAGGGTATTGGGATGAGTGGTGCCAGTGTCAGAATCCAGCAACTGAAGTCCTCCCCAAAGTCACAAGTCACGGAATTTGCTGTGCTCCCTGGTGTTGATCCGGCCCTCGAGGTCCATTAGTCTCACATAGTCTGGAGTAGGGACGTTATTCCTAGAAACTTTAAAGATGTTCAGAAAATCGGCCATTTGAGTTTTATTTTTCTTCTTCGTAAACTTCATTCCCTCTTAAACATATAAAAATAACTTCCATGCGTTATAATTAGAAAAAAAGGAAACACTTCCAAAAAGCCATTAGAAACCTAAACGGGCTATGAAATCTGTTCATGTTACCCCGCTCATATCCAGCAAAGTCACACGTGTTTAGTGGTCTGTGCTAACAATGGTGTTGTTTCTCTAACAGATGTGTACACTGCAATGTTGTGTACTCCGATGTGGCTGCACTCAAGTCTCACATTCAAGGCTCTCACTGTGAAGTCTTCTACAAGTGCCCTATCTGTCCAATGGCGTTTAAGTCTGCCCCAAGTACACATTCCCACGCCTACACACAGCATCCTGGCATCAAGATAGGAGAACCGAAGTAAGTCATCCTGACTGCTGAGTTTTACTCCACTATTGTATGAGTACTTTAGAGGAGATGGTCATTCTATTGAATAAAATTTAAGATATGAAAAATTATGCAGCTATGTCAGTTTTTCTCATAGCTCACCCAAATCTTTCTATTCTTTCCAGGTAAAGTCTTTGTCCAAGAGTATCACCTATCACTTATGCTCTTGTCATCAATTTTTGCTAAATAAGTGAATATTTATTTTACTCTTAAGATGATTTTAACAAGTAAGTTCTAGGAAATTGAAAAGAAACCAAAAAAAAACTATTTTTCCATCGTTTTTCTCTTATAGGATACACTGTTCCCCACTAATATTCAGAAGGTAAAGTCAGCTTAAGACAGTGGTTATCAAATTTAACTTTATAGCCAATCCAAATCTTTAATTAGTGGAGGTAAATTTTATTTTTGCCTCAGTATTGTTCTTCACATGACTGATTTTTGCTTTGTGGAGTCCCTAGCCACTATTCGTGAAGTGGTTTTTTTGACCCGTATGGCTCCTACCTGCGCCAGGTAAAGTTAGCAGAGGGGAGCAAGTGTGGGCACTGGGTCCCATCAGAATTTCAACAATGGCCAGCTGTGTGACCTGGGACTGTTACTTACCTGTCTCCATCACTGTTTTCTCTTCTGTAAAGTGAGGGTCATGCTTGCATCCCAGGGCTTGTGAGAGTTTAAAATGGGGTGGCGTATATAAAATTTGTAGCACTGGTCCCTGTGTTAGGAGTATGGAGGGGCTCAGTTAACATTAGTTCACATTGCCACATTTCTTCCCTCCCTCTTTTGTGTAGCACACTGGATTAAATGCTCCTGATTGTGTTATTTTATTCCTGGATTCATTATGGCAGTGTAAAGTTAGATATTAACATGAAGCTATTTTTGCTGTCCAAATCCATTGGCACATTTTTTGCCCAAACTCCATTATGAAGGAGCTATTGGGGGAAGATATGCAGGTATGCAGTGTAATGTCTATCTCTCCTTATGTATCTGGCTTTTATTGTAACATTTAGCTTTAGGGAAATGTGATCAAATCCATAGAAGTAACTTTACTTAAAAAAGCTATGTTAAAATTAATTTTATTCTACTAGAACTTTCACCCTGATATTCTGCATATTGACTCTTAAAGTGAAACAAATTACACATTAGGGGATCCATATGCAGTTTAATGTTTTCACTCAATTAGTGAATGGTTAGTGTCTTCAGTCTTCGTGATGCTAAGACTTGGACACTAATGCAGCCTATTCTTCCCAATGTATACAGTTATTTGCTTCTTTATTGAAGTAAATGAGATTTTGTTATCTGGAATAGTAGTTGTAACTTGGGAACATAGGGCAGTGATCATTAAAATAAGCTAAAACAATATTCCTGATGTATGAGTACAGTAGCCCTCACCATTATCTGCCGTTTTACTTTCTGTGGTTTCAGTTACCAGTGGTCAACTATGGTTTCAAATTATTAAATGGAAAATTTCAGAAATAAGCAATCTGTAAGTTTGAAATTGTACCCATTCTGGGTAGCATGGTGGAATTTCTTGCTGTCCCCTTCCACCATGACGTGAGTTGTCCCTTTGTCCAGCGTGTCTGTGCTTCTGTGCTACTACTCACTTAGTATCCAAGCTGGCTGTTGGATTACCGTGCTCATTACCGTGTCTGGTAACTCTTCCTTAAATGCTTCCAAGCACAAGAGTAGTGATGCTGGTAATTCAGATCTGCAGAAGAGAAGCCATAAGGTGCTTCCTTTAAGTAAAGATGTAAAGTCCTTGACCTTGAAAAAAAAAAATCATGTGCTGAGCTACAGTAATAACAAATTTTCTATTCATGAAATTGTGAAGAAGGAAAAAGAAATTAGTGCTAGTTTTGTCACACTTCAAAGAGGAAAAGTTATAGTCACAGTGCATGATAAGTGCTGCTGAGATGGAAAAGGCATTAAAGTATAATGTTTAGTTTTCTCCCTGGCTTCAGGCATCCCTTGAACACCCCCACCCCGTGGGCAAGGACATTGCATAGGAAAATATTATTCTGTATTTTCCTGTTTTTGATTTTTTTTTTTTTTTTGAGATGGTCTCACAGTGAGCACAGGCTAGGCTCAAACTCATGATCTTCCTGCCTCAACCTCCCAAGTGCTGAGATTACAGGTGTGCACCATTTTCTCAGGCTCTACTGTAGTGTTTTCATAATTTTTAAAAATTTTTCCTTCCATGATTCTTTAACAAGTGCAAACCTAAAAATAGGTACAAACTACTGTGTTTTAACTATAAAGCAAAACCAAATTTACAGATGAAGTAGCAGCCAAAACTCTCAAGCCAGTAAAGTGTACATTAATGGAGTTCATTTGGTGTTGTCACTAGCAGCCTGGCTGAACAACAGTGCTGCGGCTTCCATTCTGTGAGGCTGCTCTGTCCTGAGATAGCCTTGCCTTGCTGCCTCTCCCTCGTCAAGTACTGAAGCTTTCTCGTTCTGAGGCCATGTGGCTTGCATTGATTCAAAAGCTTCATTTTGAAATTAAGTCCAAAATGAGTAAGCACCCAAAGGAACCCCTGTACTGAAACATTCCAGGTGTGTGTGGTTGACAGTGGTTATGCAAAGGATTCAAAATTATACAAGTGATTTACATTAATTTGTAAGCAGCCAATATTAAAATACTCTTGCACCCATTTTCCTTACTGAAAATATACTATAGAGTCCCACAGCCTGAGCAACTCACTTTGAAAAGTATCACACAGGCTTTTAAGTTCTCTTACATTATAGGGTGTCTACCTAGTGCCAGTATATGGGCAAACATACTTTCCTCTGTCTAAAAAGAAACTTTGAACCCCTTTAATCCTTGCTGGATAATTCAAGATCATTCTGAATGTCCACTACTGTATTTTATGGGAATAAAAATTTTGTGTCTGTTTATTTTTTTCTTTGACATCTGATTAAGAGCAGAATTTCTCCCCTCTCCCCCGTGCTTTTCTTTTATTTGCTATTTCTCCTGAGTAGCTAGGATTACAGATTTGAGCCACTGGCACTCAGCATATTTGCTGTTTCTAAGTATATTTAGGTGCAGAAATGAGAATCCCAAAGTTAAAAATTTTATAAAAGATACAAATTCAGCTCTCAGAAAAAGCTGAATTTGAATCATGGTTCTGGGATTCATTTAATGTCAAGCAAATGATCTAATGCTCAGTCTCAGTGTGCCACCTGGGAACTAGCAGAAAGTGTAAATTCTCAACACAGGGGTTTGGTGTGGAGAACGGTACATCATAACCAGTGAGTTCTGCTAGTGGTGATGTGAAAACTTTGTGGACACAGTTCCAAGTTTTAGTGTACTTGATTTGTTTTATATCCCATTCAGGTTGAGCTCTGTGCTCTGCAGAGTTTTGGCTGCTGTAAGTTTGATTTGAATGAGTGTGTTCGGTTTTAGCTTTCTGCTCTTTTCTCTTTTTCCTTCCCTGCCTCTCTGTCTTTTCTTCTTATTTACTTTTTTGGCAGGATTAGGGTTTGAACTCGAGCTTTCAAAGCAGGCACTTTTGGGCTTGAGATAAAATGGACTCCAGTCCATTTTGCTGTGGTTATTTTAGAGATGTGGTCTCACAAACTGTTTGCCTGGGCTGGCCTTGCCCTCCTCATGATCCTCCTCATCTCAGCCTCCCAAATAGTTAGAATTATAGGCATAAGCAACCAGCACCCATCTTCTTTTCTTCTTCTTTCACCTTCTCCGCTCTACTCTTCTCTCTCTCTCTCTCTCTCTCTCTCTCTCTCTCTCTCTCTCTCCTCTCTCCCTCCCTCTCTCCCTCCCTCTCTCCCTCCCTCCCTCTCTCCTCTCCTGTCCTGTCCCCACTCTTTGTTACAACATAGTTCCCTGCCCCACACTCTGACCTGTAGGATTAGGTTTTAGAGATGTCTTTGTGAACACCCTCCTCCACCCCACCCCCAACCATGCTGGGAGTCTCACTGCTCCTGCATGCCATCTCCATGCAGAGCTCTGCCTGTGCACCAAGGGGTCTCTCCCTGTCTGGAAAGTTTCCCTCCTGGGGCTGACAGACTAGTTCAAGTGATAGAGCACCTGCCTAGCAAGCATAAAGCCCTGAGTTCAAACCCTAGTATTGCCCCCCCCCCAAAAAAAAAGCCTCCCTGTCTCTGCTGGTTCCTGTCTTCCCTGGGGTTTCCCCCTGTGATTCAGGTGTTTGCTCTGTCTTCATGGTCTGTCCCCAAATACCATACTTGGGAGACTGTGGTACTTTTGTTTTTGTTAGCATTAGCAGCAGTTTTTGATAGTTTCTGCCCTACAGAAATGTTGGAATAATGAACTGAGAATTCTTGGATCCTCTTCACCCAGACAGCCTGGTTGTTGGCATTTACAGTATCCAGCCCTGCTCACCTGTCACTGTCAAATCCCATCCTCCCCGCACATATCGAGGACTAACTAGACCTTCGTGATGACCTCACGAAGTCATCACCACGCAGCCCCACTGAGGAAGTCGGCCCGGATTGCCATGGCAACCTGCTTATAAAGTGCACTCTGACTTTCCAGTTGTTGAGGCAATGTCTTTTCCCTCTTGTCCAACAGCCTAATCTGGGCATCGTGTCCTTTGGGTTTAATCGTCCTGTTTCTTCTCTGTCCACCATCTGGAACGGTTGATCAGGGGCCCCTCTCATATCTAGGCAGTCCCAGACGATGCTGCCGTTCATCCTGAGGCTGGCCCTCCCGGTCCCTGCTACTTTCTGGAAGCTGGGCCAGGGCAGGGCTCTTGGCAGGAACGCTGCTGAGGTGTTACTACGCTCTTCTCAAAGGGTCGCACAGGGCTTAGGCAATGTCCACTGGTCCTGCTAGTTAATGGTGATGCCAGCCTTTGCCATTGAGCTAGGTTGTCACCTTGTCCCTCTTGTGTTCAGTAGTGTTTGTGTTTGTCTTGTTTTTGTGACAGTCTCACTATGTAACCTGGACTGGTCTCGAATTCACTATCTTCCAACCTTTGCCTCCTGAGCGCTGTTTCCAGATTGTGCCACTGTGCCTGGCTCATTTGTATGTTGTATGGAGGGGCCGTCAACCTGTTCCTCAGGTTCTTCAGAAAAATGCTAAGTAATTAGATTATTCTCTAGGTTTATACTTTCTCTTTTAGTAGGTATAAGAAACACATCAAAACAAACAAAAACCCTCCCCAATGGAATGCATGAATAAAATGACAGCCACTCCATGTTTTATGAAATAGTTATTTCTGAAAATGTGAGACCAGAATTCTGAGTCAATTCTCAGCTCAGCTAATAAATCTCAGTGCTTTTCTTGAAGGTATTCTTTTTTTTTTTTTTTTTTGGTGGTATTGGGGGTTGAACTCAGGGCCTTGTCCTTGCTAGGCAGGCACGTAACTTGAGCCACTCCACCAGCCCAATGCTATTCATTTTTTTAATGGTTGTATTCTAATTATAGAGAAATCAGGAAATGTAACAAGCAAAACAGTAAAAATAATGCATATGCTGTCATCCAGTGCAGGTGATGACAATTTTATGACTTCTGTTTCTTTTCTTAGGAGCATAACTCTTTAACATGTGACGCCATTATACTGTCTGTTTTTTTCTTTTTTTGGTGGCACTCAGGGCCTCATGCTTGCTAGGCAGGTGTTCTACTACTTGAACCATTCTGCCATCCCTTTTTTGTATTGGGTATTTTCAAAACAGCGTCTTGCAAACTTGCCTGGTCTGGCTTTGAACTGTGATCCTCCTGATCTCTGCCTCCTGAATAGCTAGGATTAGAGGCGTCAGCCACCAAAACCCCATCACCATTATACTGTCTTTCATTTGTTTTAATTTTCATGAAAGTCTTTCCATGTCCTAAGTATATGTAACATCATTTTAATAAATCTTCACACGATTGCTTTATTTACCCACTTGTTGGATGTTGGGGCTGTTCACAACCCTAAGCGATTTCCAACAGTGCAGAAGTGAATATCCCTGGGCCCGGGTGATGATGACGTATCATCAGGGTGCCAGCATTGGGCTGAGATGTAAAGTCCTCAAGACTGTATCTGATCTTCACTCTGTCAAGGGTGAACGTGGCTAACGTGTCAGGACTGCGGAGAAATGTGCCATTCCAGTTAAATTTATAAATCTGGGGGAAAGAAAGTTAAATCAGTACTCTTTGACAGAGCATTGCACAGTGAGGTTTGTGTGAGAACGGCAGTTTGAGAAGACCTAAGCAGAAAGTCCAGTGGTTTTACAGGGCATTCATTTCTCCAGCTTTGCTGTCGAAACGTCCAGTGAAACCTCAGCTTTTCTCTTTTCCTCTTTGACCCTCACCTGCTACTTTTCCTCTGACCTTTCTCTACGCTGACTTCTAGGTTCTTTGTGCCTTTCCACAGTTCTTCAAAGGAAGTATAGATTCCCACAGGGCCTCCCCTGAGCACCAGGATGACCTGGAGCAGTTCATGGAAAGGGTGACCCACTGTGGTTAGAGATGTTCACAGGTGACCCATCAGATCCATTGGAGGCAAAGGTGGGAGCAGGAGAGTTTCCTACTTTATCTCTGCAGACACCTCTTTCCCAAGTGTCCAGGGAGGGTGTAGAAAGGTAGAGGGGTTACGTTCAGAAGATTCAAGCCTGCTGAGTGAATGCAGGGTTTTGGCATAACATATTAGGTTGGAAATAGCTTATAGTGGGCAAGCACAAGGCACACTGAATCCTCTTGTGGTATGGGTTTTCTTTTCTGTCTTTTTACCTCAGTGCATACTTGTTACTGACATAAGACGTCCTGTGTTAATAGCTGACATAGAAATGACATGCAAGTATAAAAGTGCTGCTAACTTTATTTTATACATTTTATTTTTTTGTTTTCTGAGAGAGTCTGTGTGGTCCAGGCTAGCCTAGAACTCTGGATCCTCCTGCCTGTGGTTCTCTAGTGTTCGGATGGCAGGTGCGCACCATCAGAATTGTTTGCTTTAAAAGAAAACTTATAACAAGTAACAAATTGGGCATTGGAGCTGAGTGGACTTACTTAGCTCATTAGTCAAATCTTTATCAAGTTAAGGTAGGAACCACTGAGCTGTATTGTCCTGTCTGATCTTAAAAAAGTGCCTCCCCCTCAAAAAATAAGATGGTTTTGCTCTGTGTTAAAGTAACATGAAGATTTTGTACAAATATGACAGTTGCAGATTTGTGAGGAGTAAAATTGTCTTTAATTTAGACTTCTAAACAAATGTAGCTGAAAGCATCTTTACTTAGAATGTTAAGACTTATCTGTGACTGAGTGATGCCAGTTGTCCTGAAAGTTTGTTTCAAAGCTAAAAATATTGTTCTTTTAATTGTTTGTGTGTTCTCAACGTGCTTCTGCCTCCTGAGTTCCTTAGATGTCAAGTAGCAGCTCCTTTGACTTGAGAGACGAGGCTGACTGACGTTATCTCGCTGCGCTTCTTCTATTTTAGAATAATCTATAAGTGTTCCATGTGCGACACTGTGTTCACCCTGCAAACCTTGCTGTATCGCCACTTTGACCAGCACATTGAAAACCAGAAGGTGTCTGTTTTCAAGTGTCCAGACTGTTCTCTTTTATATGCACAGAAGCAACTTATGATGGACCATATCAAGGTGTGTGTGCATCTCTCCTCTCCTCTAAGTGAATTGCAGATTAAGTTGGTCATAAGCCAAGGCCGAGCTGCAGCTGGCTGTAGAGCATGGTGCGCTGTTCAGGGAAGGGATGGATGCTGGTCGTTGTCAATGAGCAACTTAGACACTGTCCTCATGTGTTCACTTGGCTATGGGATGCTGATCTGCCTGCTACAAAGATTAATGAAAAGGAACAAATGCATGCTTTGATAATAATAATAATAAAGTATTAGGGTTATTTTTCTATATATGTGAAAATGATGAGTGTGAAGTTTAATATTTTGAGAACTCTGTTGTATGGGATTTAGAAATAGATGGAAATTATGTTAATTTCATACACATGTTGGTGTATTTTGAAAAGTGAAGGCTTTTTCCCTGAAATTATGTAAGTAGTTAAATTTGCATTATATTTGATGCCCTTGGGTCTTCTAGCCCCCCTCCAAAAATAAAAATTGCATGTGAATTGATGATAAAATATTCAGGATACAGTAGGTGCCTGGCACTGGTGTGTTGAGTTAATGAAATGAATAAATGTCTTGTTTGGACCATTTTACTCTTCATCCCTCAGAGGGGTACCAAACTCACGTTTTCAGCTATTGAGCTCTCTGAGGTTGGGGCGTAGTCCTGGCTTATCCTGTGTCCTCTGTGATAGGATAGCCATTTTGTTCCTGTGTACTTAGGAAGTAAGATTCATTGGCTTTCAGAGTTTTAAACAGAGAAACAAAAGATCCAGTACCATCATCAGCTCATTCTTTCTCTTAGTTTTTCTGTTTTTAAAATACATTATACCAAAAAAATCAGTTAAAGAGCAAATAAAGTGTCTACGATATTTTAGTCTCGTGTCCATTGAATGAATGGACTATTAATCCTTAAATTTTCTGTCTTCAACATGTCTGAATTCATGTAGTGCCAGTGCCTAACGGCAGCAAAAGCTCAACATCTCAGAGCTTCTGCTCTGGAGGCAAGGTGCAGGTCATAGTGGTTGTGGCATTACCAGGGGTAAAATGCACGGGGATGGGGCCGGGGTTAGCATTCTCACTTGGAGTACAATGACATCCTCTTAAGAGATTTTAAAAGTTTCAGCCAAAATTTTAAAAAAATTTGTTTGTGGTGTTGGGGATGACATGCAGGGCCTGTATATACTAGGCCAGTGCCCTACAACTGAGCTGTATCCCCAGCCCTTGGTTTTCTGAGACAAGGGTCTCAGTATGGCTTTGAACTGTTTGTCCTCCTGTGTCTGCCTCTTAAGTGCTGGGATTACAGGAGTGCACTATAAAATTGTTTTTACAGTAAACATTAACGAATGACAAGAAAATAAAAACATGGGGGCTTGACATTAGATCAGAATATTTTAATATACTATGTATGGGCCAACCAGAAAAAAAGAAAGAAAGAAAGAAAAGTTGCCTCTTGAGACTTGTAAGGGATTTGGTTTCTGGAACTCACTTTCACATCAAGAAATGGGGTCGTGGGCTTTGTGTTAGGGTCTTCCTTGTTTAACAGTGAATCTGGAGGAGCACAAGGGCCTACGTGATACAAAAACAATGGGAATGTTCTCATCTCAAGGGTTTTTTCTTCTTTTTTTGGTTATTGTTTGTTTTGTTTTTTGAGATAGTGTCTCACTGTATATCCCAGGTGGCTTTAAACTCGCAGTCCTCCTGCCCCTGCCTCTCGAGTGCTGGGATTATAGGCATGCCTGGCTTTCAGGCATGTTCTATGAATCTTAATATTATTCTGGATTTATGTGTTTGGGATGGTTAAGAATAAAGGGGTACCCTTCTTTTTATTTTTAAGATGATGTATCTAGGTCTTGCTGTGTATTTCCCAAGTGGAATGGGGGTGGGTGCCGCCGTGCACATGCATTTGTTTACAGTGGCTCTTTATTTGCTCAACTTAGCCCAGTTCTTATCACTTCCTTGTTCTATCAATCAAAATGCAGATTTATTTACTTTGTAGGTCCCTGTACTCCATTCACACGTGAAGTAAACATTTAAGTTACAAACAACCATTCAGTGTATTTATTGTTATAAGAGCTAAAGAAAAATCAGTTCTAAAAGAAATAAGTTGCATTTCTTTTTTCTTTTTCTTTTTCTTTTTTTTTCTTTATGGTGCTGGGAATTGGACCCAGGGCCTTGTATATGATAGGCAAGTGTTCTATCACTGACCTTCATCCTCAGCCCAAGTTGCATTTCTTTTCTTAAAAAAAAAGACACTTGGTTTTAGTCTATTTTTACTTATAATATATAAGTAAAGTGAGTAAATTCAAAATTCTCATTTAAGCACATGTTCCATTGCCCGCTTTTGTCACAGCAGAATTTTCATTTCTTCCCTGTAATTCCTATAGTACTTTAGAGTTATCTTATAGGGAACTGTGTGTGTGTGTGTGTGTGTGTGTGTGTGTGTGTGTGTGTGTGTGTGTGTAACTGATTTGAACTTAGGGCCTGGTACTTGCTAGGCAGGTGCTGTACCACTTGGGCCATACTGCCAAGTCATTTTTGCTTTAGTTATTTTTTGAGTAGGATCTCATTTGTGCCCTGGAAGAATACTTTTAATACTTTCTTCAACTTCTCAGCAAAAATGTCTTTGCCTAGACTATATTATTAATTAGAAGGTTTGGGTTTTGTCACTGCTTTTAAAATGGTAAAAATGTAAAAACTTCTATTCTGAAAAGGGCCAAACCCATAATTCTGTGCCTGCCTGTGTGCAGTTTTTGGCAGCCAGGAAACCTAGTCTGCCTCTTTTCTCTGTGCAAAAGGAAGGAGACTGTTAAATAGCAAACCCCGCGGCCCCCCCCCCCCATTGACAGGCCTGTTTAAATCTCATCTGTTGGTCAACCTTATAACCTGCTGAAGAGAACATTGTAGGACCCCTTCTCCTCCTGGGAAAGTCGGCCAACTGATCTGGTTTAGAAAAAGCATGCTGGAGCAGGCAGAAGGAATAGCGTCCTCTTTGAGCCTCATCAGAAATGTGGTGCCAAGACCTCGGAGAGAGTCTCTGTGACCAGGGAGACCTGGGAGTCAAGGCCCCTCGGAACTTGCATCCGTGTCGTGTCTCCTGAAGGTTCAGGAATGTAGAGGCCAGCTGCAGCCTGCATCCTGATCAGAAGGCCCCATTGGCAGATTAGCTGGATGCTGAGGCACACACTTGCTTCCTTTTATTTTTGGACTCCATGCCTTTAGTACACAAACAAAACCAAACCAAAGTAAGCTGGTCTTTAAAATGAAATTGCCCTGATATTACCCCACTCACATTTGAAATCCTATGAGTTTATGGTGGCAGTTTCGATTATTATGTTAATGATACTAGACAACTAAATAATTATAAGAGGCCTTTTTAAGTACCTCCTGTGTACATTTCACAAGTCTGGGTGCTGTTAGTAAGAAGGGATGGATCAGGAGAGGAGGTAGGGAGATGAAAATTGTTCTAAAACACCAGCAGAATCCCACAGGGTTGCAAGTATTCCAAGAATGTGAAAGGGTAGGAAAAAAGGCTTGTTATGAGCTCTGGGTCTCAAATGTGGGCTCGGGTTGGTGAGCTCTGGCATATTAGCCTGTTGAAATAGTTCTGCAGATGAGAAAGGGGAATGTTCTCTAGAAATCAGTGTGGAGGGGACTTGCTCTGGGGAGGCAGAGTTTTAAGACTAATTTGATTTAGTCCGGTGGCACGCGTATAAATTACTTGGAACTAGACACACATATCTTGCAACAATCATAAAAGTTAATGCTCCTTTATCTCTTTTAAAATGTATATTTTTAGTTTAGGTTATATATGGAACTATTTCTGAATGAATGCAAAATGCTGTTGAAATGTCTATAAAGGATTAAGGCAGTCTGCATGTGCTTTCTTTCAGTGGTATGATTTGTAATAGGTATCTCTTTTCTTTTAACACAGTCTATGCATGGAACACTGAAAAGTATTGAAGGACCTCCAAACTTGGGTATAAACTTGCCTTTGACCATTAAGCCTGCAACTCAAAATTCATCAAACCATAGCAAAGAGGATGCTAAGTCCACGAATGGGAAAGAGAAACCGGAAAAGAAGTCTCCATCTCCTGCAAAGAAGTCCACAGAATCGAAGAAGTCAGTGAGTCTCGGGTGGACGTGTTGGGAGTGTGACCGCCTGTTCACGCAGAGGGAAGTGTACATCTCCCATGTGAGGAAGGAACACGGGAAGGTCAGTATGTGAGCGCAGGGAGGAGCTCTGCTTGGCACCTTTTGGCTCTTGCAAGCTCAGAAATCCCCCGTGCCTCTGTGGTTCTCTAAAATGGGCATTCCCACACCCTTCTAATACTGCACTGTGACCTTCCCAACTACCTTCACTTGCACACTGGAAGTAGAGTAAGTTGTCCACCAAGTCTGTGTTTACAGCTGAGGAACCCGAGAATAGGGAAAGCCACAGTTAAAGGCATCTGAATGTGCCTTCTATCCTGTGACCTACAAGGAACACAGGAGAAGGGAAAGGTAAGGGGTATGTTGTGAGCCGCTGGTAGCATTTATATGACTTGAGTTTGTAATGGGAAGAGGAGCCTCATCCTTTAATTTCCAGAAGTTCTGCAACTCCAAATCCTGAAAAATCAGTCACGATGTATATATGCTTTCTCTTTATAAAATAAGTACACATTTCCAACTGATAAGGAATTGAAAAACTGCCAGTTAGTTGACTTAAAGTATGCAAGATTATTTTTCAATATTGTTTATGATGGTATTGAGGTATAATATTAGTCTGTGTCCACATTTTCTGATTGTCTGGAGGGGATCTAGAAAGAGTCCATATTACATTTGGTGTTTGTATAATGTAAACTTCTTTATTCCATAAAAGTCTTCCCTTGTTTAAATTTTTAATGTGCTATTTATTTATTGGAAAAATTGGGATGTTTGTCCTAAAGATTATTCCTCACAGTACTGGATTTGGATAATTGCTTTTTTTCGACATTGTTTAACCCATTCCTCTTTATCTCATAATTTGTAAACATTGGCTTGATTCAGCTTGAAGTTTTTAAGTTTTTAGGTAAGACTATCTCAGAGGTGCTTTTTTTTTCACATCATGATGATGAAAATACTAGCTTGTCCCACTTTCAGTGATTGTGAGATTGATTAATGAGTTCTGAGGCATAATATTTTTTAAGAAAACCATCTTATTGCTTTAACCTTTAGCTTTTGGGAACCCGTGTAAAGCGTACATAGGAATTGATTTATAATTAGTATATATTGATCTTTGAAAAGTTTTTTATGTGAAGTGTTAATCATATTTAAGGATCACATTTATTTATACTGTTTATTTGAGCTACTCCTGAAGCTAATGTGTTACCATCCACATGGTATAAACTTGCCTTTGGACATCTATCACAGTGTTCATAAAACTGAATATAGAGGTGTTTTTATTGTATTTGGTTTAGCTACACTGTCTCTTCTGATGAAAAGTAGTTACTTTGAGAATGTATTTGGCTTTAGTGGCACATCTCTTATTTAATCACTGTGATTTTAGGTTTCCCAAATAGCATCTTAATCTTATTTATTAAGTGTTGGGTGGTTCTCAGGGAGCAGTGCTTTTAACCTATCATATCAGTTCTTTCAGAGCCTGGTCTGGCAATTCTAGGAGGATCTTCTTTACTTGGCACCCAAACTGGATTTCATAAATGTTAAAATAGGAAGTGACTTTAGTTATCAAGTAGTCCAACTCTTTTCCTCCCTCTCTCATCCCTCCCTCCCTGCTTCTCTTCTTCCCTCCCTCATCCCTCCCTTTCTTCCTTCCATTGCTATGCTGGAATTTCAACCAAGGTGCCCTTGGGCATGCCGGGCTCCACCCACTGAGCTACATCCCCAGCCCCACATTTCATTTCTTTACATATTCTGTAACTATCTTATAACATTTCAGAAATCATTTTCTTTTCTCTCTCTTCCCGCCCCCCCCCCCCACAAAACTACGTTTATCTTGTATAGATCTAGAAAATAAGAGAAGGAGATGGCTTTGAACCAGAGTTGGTGGGAAGAAATTCAGCACTTAGAGAAATCATTTGCTTGAGGACAATGCATGGAGGATGCGCAAGCTGGATGTGTGTGCACGCAAGCAAGCGTGTGTACTTGGGCGAGGTGGAGCCAGTCATCAGATGTTAGGAGTGGCTCTGAAGGAGTCGACACCCTGCCCTTTATTTATTTATTTTTTGGTACAGGGGCTTGACCCAGGGCCTTGGGTATGCTAGGCAAGTTCTCTACCCCTTGAGCCATGCTCCCAGCCCCCACACACTGCCTTCTGGAATGAAAATCATGAGTAGATTGCAGCTTTACTTGTGTTCATTCAGCTTTATGAAAGAGTTAAGGCACAGTGGAAGAAAGAAGGACAGACCTGTCATTATAAACTAGCAAAGTGAAGAGTGTTGAGTGTGAGTCAGAAGTCAATACTTGCATCCCACCGTGCTGGGTCAGACAGGAACCCTCCACTTGCATAGATCCTGCTATAAGTGTACTTGTATTTAATTCCTCTGTGTGGTGGGGGGGGAGTGGGGTGGTGGTGGAGGTGGTCCTGGGGTTTGAATTCAGAGCTTTGCACTTGCAAGGCAAGCACTCAACTGCTTGAGCCATGTTTCTAGTCCCTTAATGTTCTTTTCTACTTTCCTTCTGTCAGAATATTATTCTCTTCTGAACTTCAAACTGCCTACAGTTTTTTCTCTCTTTGTCAGACCACCAGTGTAATAGAGTGCTTTCTGCACCCTTGTCCTCCTGCTTACAGAGCTGTGGGTTTCAGCTCTTCCCCAGGCCACCTCACTCAGATGGCCTGCTTCTTGCCTCCATTGGATATTTCAGCCTTTCTCTTTATTGACCCCATTGCTGTGTTTTACGTGATTGGTAGTTCTTTTTCCAAAGTACTTTATACTCTTATTGTTAAACTTTCCTGACTTTCTCATGGTTGCAGGACCCCATTCAATTTTTGTTGTAAAAACATTTTACATTTACATTTACATTTCTGACTCCATGAAGTTTAGCAACTCTCATATATATATATATGTAGATAGCTTCCAAATCTGTCTCCAGCTGTGGTTTCTTGCCAAATTCCATCCATTTCCATAAGATGTTTTAGCTCCTTGTGTAACTCAAGACACTTTCATCTAATCTGTCCCAACAGTGAATCTACACTGTTCCTCTACCCCTCAGTGCTTATGGAAGCTTGGTGTCTAACTTGACTTGGTGATTTCTTCTTCTCCTTCTCCTTCTATCTTCTTCCCCTCTCCCCACCCCTCCTCTTCCTCTTCCCCTTCTTCTAATTCAGTCCTGTTTGAAAATTGCCCACATGCTATATGCCAGGCTGCAATGCCGTAAAGTCAGCTTCAGCATCACTTTCCTCCTTGTATGACCACCAAGACTAGCATTCAGATGTGATGGGAAAGGGTGATTTCTTTATATCCACCCCCCCCACACACACCCTAGCCATCTACTAAACACCTATTAGTCTAGCCATTTCTCTCTTAACCTTTGACTACTCAGGATTCAGTTCTTGTATGGATTCTTCTTCTCACTGTAGGCAAAGAGCTTTTTCTACAGTACAGGTCTGATGATGTCACGGTTGCATAAAACGTCATGTTCCCATCACCATCAGAAGAGTGCTGCCTTCCCAACATGGCTTCCCAGGTCTGTTCCTGGTCTATGCCTTCTGTATTCTGCTGGCTGTAACTTCATGAGGTGCTCCTTAGACAAAGGAAACTGTCTTCAGTGTTGTAAGCATCCTTTGTGCATTCGCCTCTGGGCTTTTCAGGTGATGGTTGGTTCAGTAGTTTGAGAAACCACACTGATCACCAGATCAGTAGCATTCAGTGACTCCTTAATCCTTTAGGTCTCAGCGTAAAGACTGCCTTTTCTGGGGTCTTCTTCCTGAATGTTTATATTCAGCTCCAGTTGCCAGTAACATTGTCTTTAATAATCTAAAATGCAGTTCCAGCTTGCTAGTTATTCTTAGGGATTTTGTTTTTTTACTGATACTAACCCAGTATCCATTTTCAGTGGCTCTTAATTTTTTTCAGTAATTTCTTGCAATCTGTTATCATGTCAAATGCTTAAATTTTTGACAGATACTACATATTTATTAAAGGCTTAATTAAAAAACTTGTAACTTGGTGAATTATTACTCTATTCATTTAAACAAGAAAAAGAGTTAAAATACCAGCATTTAAAATAGGGATGATTACAGAAATTCCTTATTTAGAAAGCCAGTAAAAACAACACATCACTTTCTAAAGTTGTTATCATTTTGTTGGGGCCAGTTTTAGCTATGCTTTACAGTGATGTACTCTTGGTTTTTGAGGCAGGGTATTTCTGTGTAGCCCAAGCTGGCTTTGGCTGCTTGATCCTCTGCCTCCACCCCCCAAGTGCTGGGATTGCTGGTGTGCACCATGATGCCTGGCTCAGAGACAACTCTTTGGTGATAACTCTTAAAGTCCTGGGTCTGTTTTGTTATGATATACGCCTTCTCTGGCTTGTAGGATGGTGCACACACTCTATCTTGTAGTTGCCAGTTGAAGCCTTTCTCTTTGAATTGTCACTGGCAGGCATGGGAAAGGGTTTTGGGAGTCACCAGTACACCTAAGCAGTGTAGTTCGGGTATTTAAATAGTTTTCTAAATACAGATATCTTTCCTCTGGGAGGTCTCTGTCATCTCAGCCATAAAATCAGCCTCCTCAGTGTCATTAACCTGGTGGTCAGCTCATACAAGCTATGAGCCCTTCCTCAGATAGGTGCATACATACATTTTGGGTAGGTTATATACCTCCTGACATTGTGTTTTCACTTGCTCAAAATGGTCTCTCTAAGAACTTCAAATTAATTAAAATCACCTGAGTGAGGTATTAGAGGTCATTCTCATCTCTTTTTTTTTTTTTTCATTTTTCTTTTTTTCTTGGTACTGGAGTTTGAACTCAGGGCCTTGCAATGCTAGGCAGGTGCTCTATCACTTGAGCCATACCCCTACCTCTTTTTGCTTTAGGTGTTTTTAGAATAAGATCTTACATTTATGCCCAAGGCAGCCTGGACTGTGATTCTCCTATCTACACTTCCTATCTAGTGGGGATGACAGGCACACACTACCATACCCAGCTTTTTATTGGTTGAGATGGGCTCTTGTGAACTTTTTGCCTGGGCTGACCTCGAACTGTGATCTTATCTTCTGGGTAGCTAGGATTACAGATG